TTAATTTTCTTTATCCTCCAACCACTGCTGTATTCCCTCTTCTTCTTAATTTTCTTTCTCCTCCACCCACTGCTGTATTCTCTCTTCTTGTTCATTTTCTTTCTCCTCCAACCACTGCTGTATTCTCTCTTCTTGTTTCTTTTCTTTTTCCTCCAACAACTGCTGTAATTTCTCTTCTTGTTTTTTTTCTTTTTCCTCCAACATCTGCTGTAATCTCTCTTGTTTATTTTGCTGTTGGAGCTGCCACTGTTTACCAGGCCAGATGGTAAAAACACAAGACATTTTGTGAATAATGATTGTTTTATTTCTTCACTTTTGTTTTCTTGTTTTATCTCTTCACTCAATTTATACTCCGAATAACATTTCCATAACCTCCTGACCTGTAGTTACTCAGAACAGTTTTTCAGATATCAGTGTATCAGAATATTTATATCAGTTTGTGACTAATTTATATTTCTTCAAAATAGTAGGGAATTGTGTTTGCTGTTAGGGGATCACATATTATAGGGGATAAACAAATAAGTGCAGTCATTGAGGATTACTTCAATAGGTGTAATTCTTTATTGAAAAGAATACATTTATCTACAACTTAAAACTTTAGCTTTATCAAATTAAAGTGCAGAATCATGAATTAACCAGAAAATTTTTTTATAAGCCACATTACATTGGTAGTCAGTATCTTAACATAATCTACTTGTTTTTCGAAGTTTGTGTTGTATGATAAGTACATTTTTCCTCCTTTTTAAAAAGAGAAAAGAGAGAGAGAGAGATTAATATGTTGTTGCTTTTTACCATTTTTGAATTTTTGCTATTAAGATTTAATTTGCTAGAAGCTCACAAATTTAATTTTTTCAATGTTTTTTTTGTCTAGGTATTAATATTTGTTACTGATATTTCATTTTATGTATCTAATCTTTTTAAAACTAAATTGCAAAGTTAATTATTTTTCTGACCTGTTACATATATGAATATGGTTAAATATTACAAGATTATATAGCCACTGTGCTAATGATTATGATTTTATTCACCAGCAGGGTGTGGAAAAGGTCCTGGCTACAAGAGTCCACTGGAAGCTATGGAGGGACCTAGGGAAAAAATACTTTATGTCGTTTGTATTCAACCTGATTCTTATAGGTCAGGTAAACCAGACTATCTTGCTACAGTTGATATTGATCCTGATTCCTCAACATATTGCAAGGTATTGTAGCTATGTTAATGCCTTGTTATACGTATACTTTAAAGAAAATGTTGAATTTTATCAGAAACAAGTAACTGTTTTTTAATATATGCATATGTCTTATAAAGAATTTTAATATGTCTTCTGTTATTGGTTTCACCTAAAAATAAGAGTATTTTTTATTGTTTTCCATTTTTTCTTTCACTTTTATGTGTGCTTGATAATTGATACCTGGAGAATTTGCCAATAAAAGGAAAAATACTGTTATTACCTTATCTACTGAAATTAGAAATATACAAGTTACAAATAATGAATCTTTGATTGCAATATATACGCACATTAGGTGTTTTTAACCATCTAATTGGGGGGGGGGGAGGTCCCTCTAACTCAATCCCCCCTACGTATTTTTGGAAATTTGGTGGTTTTATTTATAGTTAATAGTTTTGGTATGAAAAAGCTAGATACTCTTAGAATATGTGCTGACATCGTGGGCCTTCAGCACTAGAATGCATACAACAGTCATCAAATAAAATACTTTTTCTTAAGAAAAAAATTCTAAATGACAAACCCCTGCACACACATAAGTTTCACAAATTTAAATTTCAAGAGAGAGGGAGATCCAAAAGTCACTTCAAAATGTTATATTACTTTACAAGTTATTTTATATTGATGGGCTAGACAGCAAAATACTCTCTGAAACAGACATAAGCACATCTCGATTGGCAGTCTGTTCAGTCTGTTTTGCATCCAATTTTTTTTGCTTATTTGCTCAGTTCACAGTTTATATTTTCAGCTGCATAATTTTTATTATTTATAATGTTTTGAATTTTTCTGATTCTGTGAATTCTTTTTAGAAATACAATTCTCTTTTTCCCCAGTCAACTCCACTCATGATACAGGCACAATTCCATATTACATCTACCACATTTGCTGTAGCTACTACAGCTGCTTTGCTTGCTACTTCAATGGTGTCTGAGGAAGCTTTATCTGATCAGGAAATAACAGCTCTTGTCCATAGGGAGTTGGCTACTTTTATGCGGGCTGCTGAGCACCTGATGATTCTCCTCTCACGTCATGTTTGGTTTTTCCTGCACATGACGATGTGGATTTGGATAGTCTGTTTCCTTGTCGTGCCTATATCTCATAGTTGCATATTGTTTTGGAGGTATCCAGGCCTTCTTTCCCATTTGTTTACTTAATCCATCAGGTATGTAATGTTTTATCCTTATTTACAGTTTCCAATGATTATACTCCAGATATTAGGGTTCATGCGATTCATTCTGGGAACCAGTTGAGTTTGTGTGTCAGTATGCCTTGACCCCCCATGTACTTTGTACAACCATGCTTTAGCATGTCATCATTCTGACTTTTCATACTTAGACTTTAGTGTTTGAAGTCATTTGTTCTTTTATGGGGGATTTGTTTCCTTTTCCCTGCCTACAATGAGCAATGTGGCTCAGTAGATTTGTGCTTTTGATTTGTAATCAGATGGCTATGAGTTCAAGACTGGCCCATTATACTGTTGTGTCCTTGAGTAAGACATTTTACCCCTCTTGTTCCAGTCTATCCAGATATATGTTGGGTACCAGCTCTTAGGACAGGGTTGAACTGTGATGGACTGACATTCTATCCAGAGGAAATAGGTCACCATCTAGAGCCCTGGCCCTATTTCCTTTTTAAAGTCACTCATTGTGACAGTGGTAAGTTTATGGATTTACAGTGCTGAAATCTGGAGGTAGATTCCACATGGTGGACACTGTGGGTGGTCTGATGTGATTTTTCTCTGAAACAAAGAAACAAACCAAAATAATTTGAACAAGTATTTCACTGATATTACGAGGAAACCAGCCAGTCTGATTTTAAAAATGGGTACTGGTGCTCTATCATTGACCTGTTAGCTCTCAACCAATTCTTAGTCCTCCCACATTTCACCATGGAGTCGCACTTAGCCATTCATTGCGTTTTCCCTCTTGGTTTGTGGGTGGTGATGGTCAGTGAATTGGATACATACCTACACATTCACATCTACCCTGCATCCTGACATTAACTTTGTTTTGTCCATTGGGGTGAGTGTTTCAATCTGGCTCTTCTGTTCCAACTTGCCTTGGCTCCCTACATTTTTTGGTCAGGGCATTTACACATATTTTTCATATCAGGGCCCTTATTTTATACCTTACTTGGATGACTGGCTTCTTCAGGCTTCCTCACGGACCAGCTTTGCCTTTCATGTTCAGTTTCTCCTAAGAGTAGTAGCTTGGATTGGATGGTGTTGGTGGAGACGTTTTTCCTCATTCCCACACAATACCTAGTTCATCTTGGAGTTTTGTTTAATTCCCTTCTCAGATGGTTACAAATTTCTCTCCTTTGGTTGGAGGCTATGGAGCTTCTAGTTCACAGCTTTCCTCCCATCTTTCTCCCAGGGAGTGAGAGGTTCTTACTCCTTTGGGGACATGGGTTTCTCTGGAAGTACTCCTCCCTTTTAGTCATTCCAACATGTGTCCCCTTCAGTGGGTTTTGTGGGTCCAGAGAAGCTTCATTTAGGATCCCTTGGACATCCCTCTCCTCCTTGCTCCTTCCTTATCAACCGACTTCACCTGGTGGTTAGATCCGGACAATACTCCTATATGTGTTCCTATTTGTTAGATATACACAACTTTTTTGTTTAAATTTAATATGATAGTTATGGCCAAGATAGTTATAAAGCACAAATGCTAAACTTAGTATTTGTAGAAACGATAATTTATTGCATGTTTGCTTACATAACTGTTTGCAAGTGATGTGTTGTGTAGTTCAACTGCTGTGAATTGATGTCAAGTTAGTTGAACCTTCTGAATTTTTCTTGTTGCCTTAAGTGAATATTGTTACATCATAATGTCTTGTAGTTTGTATAAGGTTTTAGGCCTCAGTCAGGCAATATGTATATAGTGAACCAAGTTAGTGGAAGTAAGTTAGTGAGAGAGATATAGCCAAGTTTGGTCATAAAGAGTGTATAGTAGTGACTTTTAAAGTGTAGTAATCACAGATTATATTGTAATACAATATATATATATATACAATATGTTGTAGAGAAGAATAATTCATTTTGTCAGTTGGGTTCTAAAGTAGCAGAACCAGACTGTGTGGACTTTTGACATAAGAGAGAATTATTTAAAGCTCAGAATACAACTGTGGTAACCCACTTGGTAACATTATTGAATTTATCACTGATTGTATTGTGATAACAGAGCATAGAATAATAATTCTTGTCAATTGAGTTATAAAGTAACTGAACCAACCTGTGTGGACTATTAACGAAAAAATAATTACTTAAAGCCCTGGTTACAAATGTGATAACCAATAGTGTAACAAATTTTTGTACATATGTTTGATTTGTTTTGAATATAATATTTTAAAACAAGTGGATTGAGTGCTGTCTATTTATTGTTGAAATTTATTACCAACAAGTCACAGATACCTACTGTAAAGAACTGCAGGCCTATAGAAACCTGACACTTTTCCTTCTCCTTGATTGGAAGGTCACCTTTTACACATGCTTCCCAGTTGAGATGCTTATCTGGTTACTTGGGAGGTTTCAGGGCAGTGGACTCTCTGAGTCCTCTGTCCTTTTCAATCCCTGGGAGCTCCTTGCAGTCTGTCGGCTTTAATGTCAGTCAATGATGGTGCTTTCTGACAACTTAGCTTCATCTCGTACATCTTCATGCAACAGGCACTTGGTCAAGAGACCTGTGTTTTTGGCCTCTGATCCTCCTATATTGGGCCACAGCCATTGCATTCTTGTGTTGGCTTGCCATATTTCAGGTGCCCTGAATGTCATCACAAATTTTTTATCAAGTCCTGACAGAATCCTCCCTTCAGAGTGGCCACTGTATCCATGTTTTTTTTTGTGGATGCTGTTCCCATTGGGGTGGTCCAGATCTGATTGCCTTTGCAAATCATCTCAATTATTTTTTACCCTGGTTTTGATCTTCTGTTCTGCATCCTGTGGCTGGAGCTTTAGTTTGGAATGGTCTATACCCATATGCCTACCCTCCCATTTGTTTGCTTCTCCATATACTTTTCATCATTCAGACCACTCTGAATCAGATTCTGTAGGTGGCTACACTTTAATTAGCTTCATTGTGGTTTCCACTTCTGCACTGACTACTGGGGTTACCACCTTTTCCCCCACCCTCCTATATCTGCCTCGGTCTGGCATGTGCCATCAGTCCATTCCCACTTTCCATCTTCAAGTATGGCTTTTGTCTGGTTCACGGCCTGTCAGGCTGGCTTTTTGCAGTGCATGGTGTCCTTTTTTTCATTATGTTAATCATTCCTCCAAAGACTGTGGATGACCAAATGACTGTTCAAATTTTTGATGTGGTACTTTTTCCAGATTGTCTTTTCTGCCTAAATCTTTGCTTGCTCAGGAGGGTATTTCTACCTTTACACCCTTCTTTATCACACTTTTATAACCATTCCTATCCTGATTGCCTCCTCTGTTCAGTTGGGGCTCTCCATTGTTATGGAGAATGGATGGTACATTCCTAATGCCACCTGGTGATAGATTGTAGATGCACCCCCACTTTGCTGTCCCATGAATGTCAGTTCCCAGTGGATATGGTGATGGTTTGGTTGGATGTGTACATAAGATATTGTATCAGCAGTTAACATTTTTCTAAACTGAAAATGTATTTCTGATAGATTATTACCTCCTCTCACATTTCCCACTCAACCTTCCCCCTTCTGGTGTAGGTTCTGTATCTGCTGCCCAATCTTGAAGTGAATAAGGGCTGCATGGATGAGCGGGTGTCACACTTCTATATGGTGGAGGGTTGTTGCATCAGTATTTGCATGATAGCATGGAGATGTCTCATGGGTAGGTAGAGTATCAAGGCTAGTAGTGAGCAAAAATTTGTGCTATAGCAAGCCCATAGTTTGAATATGACCTCTCATTATATAATTGCTTTTGTAACATTGTGCATACATGCAGAAATAGCATTTTCATACTTATCAGAGGAAATTTACTAGAAATGTTTATTTGC